AAGGAAGAAGGGGAGGGAGGGAAAGGAGAAAAGGGGAGAAGGGAAAAAGGGAAGTCCCCCGAAAGTACGGGTCCTAATTCCATTTCCACCAGTATGTAAATATGATGTTCATCAGCAGAACAAAACTGAGAATCCTAGGTCACAGTTAAAAGCTATCAGCATCGGCTCTCCCAAGTCTCAATAGCAAGAAGTGTGCAGCAGTGGTAGTTCCCAAACTCCCACAGTGAACATCTCCCACCAGCTGACTGTGCTTACCACGGTCAATGAACTGTTTTGACACATTGTTACAATTAGATGATCACTGTTCTAGACCAGCCTCCTGCACCGGGTCCAAATAGAACCCACTAAAAATAAAAAAGGAAGTCACTCATACAAGGTCTGAGTTCTCCCACCAGCCCCCACACCAGTTTCAAAAGGCACAGTAATGAAATTCCCTCGACCTTACACACACACACACAATAACCTGGTGCTAATTTATTAGCTATTTTCCTAGTATTTTATTGTCTACAGTTTCCATCTTAAATGTGTCCCAAGGGCCCATGTGTTAAAGACCTGGTCCATAGCCTGTGGCATTATGGGAAGACGATTGAGCCTTTAGAGGTGGTGCCTAATACAAAAAGAAGTAGGTCACTGGGGAGTGTACCGTTGAAGGGGATACGGAGACTCCAGATTCTTCCTGCCTCTCTTTGCTTCCTGACCACCATGAGGCAGACACTCCTCTGCCAAATGCACAGTGGGATGTATTGTGACACCACAGCCCCACAGCAACATGACCAGAGCACCTGAATCCTCTGAAAGAGAGACCCAGAGCAAATCTCTCAGTTCTGAGTTGAAAAATCTCAGATAACTTGAGAAAGCAATGGCAAGCAGACAAACACCGTCTCATGGGGCCTGCCTTACGAGGGAAGCTGCTAAAGTGGCCCGTCCATGGTTTTGTCGTGTTTCTGCACGATTGAAGAGCTCTGCCCAAAAATCAAAAACCTTTTCCCAAATCAAAGGAATATTTATTCAATTTTATGGAATGGGAGGTTGCCTCGTTCTACAATTGAAAATAAAACCAAAAATAAGTAGATAGGTAGGAAGGTAGACAGATAATAAATAACAGACATAAAAGGTTATAGATAGATGAGAGAGAGAGAGAGAGAGAGAGAGAGAGAGAGAGAGAGAGAGAGAGAGAGAGATTTAAGGAAACAAAAACACCAAACAACTTTTTAAAAGAAGAAAAAAAAAGAGAAAGCCAATTAAGCTCATTAAACTGTTGTAACATGAACCTTTTGCATTAGTAACTAAAATTCATGCTTTTCCAGATTCCTGATTTTCCTGATGTTTCTTCTCTGTTTAAGGATTCCAGGATACCACATTATAATTACTTGTCATTTTAGGCTCCTCTGTTGTGATAGTATCTCAGGTTTTCCTTAGTTTTGATGACTGTGACAGTTTTCTTCGCCTATGTGGTAGGCTTATTACATGTGCACTACACACCACTCTGCGTGTTAACTTTAATACACTACATACTGTCTGGTGTGTTATTATACGTATACCAGACACTACTCTATGTGCTAAGTTTAACACATGCACACTCTACACCACCCCATATGTTAAGTTTAACAGATGCACACTCCACACCGCCCCATGTGTTAAGTTTAACACATGCACACTCCACACCACAGGTTCACTTTGCTCGGCTCTTAAGAGTCCAAAGCTGGAGGTGCACACTGTACTGTGATGAAATGTTGCACGGTCTCTGTCCCTTTCTCAAGATAAAGCTTGCTCAACTTTTTCATTCTGAAATAATTTTAGACTTACAGAGAACTGACTGGTCAGTTCCTGTATGTGCTTTATCCACCTCACACGATCATTTTCAAAACCTAGGAATTAACTCTGGTTAGTGTTCTTAGTTGGTTTTAGTCTGAACCTACAGGCAAGCATACTTATTTGTGGTGTAAGCGGGATGTTTCAATGTGTACATAATATGTAACAATTCAATCTGAGTAATTACCGTATGGCCTCAAGCATTTATCGTTCCTTCCTATCGTTCCTTCAAAGTAGGAACATCAAAAACTTCCTCCCATTTTGAAATAAAAATGTATTATTTTTTGACCTTGACCTTTGAAAAATCTTTGCAGAAACTCTCAATTAGTTGGGGTGTGATAGTGCACATCTGTAATCCCAGCTCTTAGAAGGGGAGTCAGGAGGTTCTGTTGCTAAAAACAACCCAGCTGTATAAGAGTCTGAGGTCAGCCTGAGCTACAGGAGATGATTTCTCAACAAATGAAATAAAAGCCAGAAACTAAAACTCAGTATCTGCCCCATACTTTGCTCATAATCATACAGGATTTGGGGGTTATGGCTTTCTGCAAGGAAGGTCAGAGCAGGAAAATGCCACTTGTGCACGTGTTCAGGGTGACCTGCTGTGGACAAAGCCATCACTGCCTATGTGAACACACATTGAAGCTATCTATGCCTACCTGGCTCCTCACCGTGAGGTCATTTGCTCCGCTCTGTTCACACACTATAACATGCAGAGCTGTAATAGAGGAGGTTGTAAATTAACTAGTATTCTATAGAACGTTCTAGATGTTCTGTGTAAAATACAGAGTATTCTATGTAAGTTTCTTCTGAGGGGAGGGGTCCTTACCGCCCTGCTTCCTCCACTTAGTTGTCTAAGCCATCATTTGTCCAGGCACTCATACTTCCTGGTGTGAACTTACGGAATATGTACTTCATACCTGTGAAATGTCTACCATCTCTAAGTATGTCTATGTTGTAAACTTCTCTAATACATCCTCCCACAATCATATAGTTCTTTCTTTATTAGTTGCTCACTTTATTCCAGGATTCTCCATTTTCAACTGGCTCCTTCGACAGACCACCATCATGTATAAATTTTATTTTATTTTTGGGGGGATAGTTGCTTTTGGGTACTTCTATACTTTCTGGAACTACAAACAACTCCAGGTTCATATTATAGATTTCACAGTTGAGCACTAGAAGTATTTCTCCAAGGACTCCAGTTCCTTGTGATGGAGAATGGCATTAGGAACTATGATCTAGGCTTAGGTCCACCCACTGCTGAAAGAGTTTAATTCTTACAGGCTGCTCGGCTGACAGCCAAAGCGAACATAAGCATGTGGTGCTAACCTTTGAATCCTCAAATGTCTATATTTTTTCGTTGTAACTTTCTGTATTTATATTAAGCTAAGCATGGGTTTATAGTGATGGATTGGTCATTTCCATGTACATCTGATCAAGTAAAAAAAACAGAATGCTTGGAGCCGGTGAGATGGTCATTTTTAGTTTTTATAAATATAGCAATGACGATAGAACCTTCTCCATGTTCAAGGTTCTCTTCAGGAAACAAGCCTCACTGATACCCCACCCTGCCCCACTGATACCCAACTCTGCCCCACTAATACCCCTCCCTGTCCCATTAGTACCACTCCCTACCCCACTAATACCCCAACCCTACCCCACTGATGATTTTCCACCCTGCCCCACCAATAATGCCTCACCCTGCCCCATTGATACCCCATTGACACCCCACCCTTCCTCACTGATACCCCACCCTGCCTGGCTGCCTAAACAGCACGTCGAGGTCTTCTTGGTAGCTCTTCCATGATCATATGGCTTTGTGCCCTTCTTCGTCAACCCATCTTACTTCAGTTCACTTCCTTTGGTTTAGCAGTCTTTGGCCAGCCTGATTTTCTTAGAGCCATGTTCCTTCCTCTTTCCTGATGTCTCCGATTCACCCAGAAACTACCATGTGGAACCAAACCTAGATACACATTACTCTAGACTAACAGGTGTTTGAAGGTTGCCAAGTACGCAGGATGTGGCTTTACAACTCTGATAAAGCCATGAGAAGTTCATTTCTAAATTACTTTATAACCCATTGCTTTCCTTCAAATTTTCTCTGTAATGTCCACTAGCTAAGACACACAATCATAATTTCTTATTCATTATCGTGAGTCAGGGCCCCACCTTGGATCTCGATGAAATGACTGCTTTTCATTTACAACCTCATTATCTTATAAACTAAGACAGCAAAACCAGAGTCAAATAAAGCCATCTCTAAAGACATTCTAAATGCTTAAGTGGAAAGATGAGAAATAGAGCAAATTAAGTTTTGTAAAGTGGAAAATTAACCATAAAACCGAGAATACGGACTAGGGATGCAGTTTGGTTGGGAGAGTGCTTGCCTACCAAGCACAGGGCTCAGCATCTGAGCCTCAGAATCGAATAAGGCAAGCATGGTATTGCATGTCTGTTATCTTGGAACTGGAGAAGTGGAGACAGGAAGATCAGAAGTTCAAGGCTACTTCCCCATACATATCGAGTTTGAGACCAGCTTAGGAGACATGAGTCTCTGTCAGAAAAAGAAGGAGGACGAGGAGAAGGCAGAGGAGAAAGATAGGCTGTGCAGAATGTTTATAAGGCAGCAAGCAGTAGGCAAGTTTGGCTTTTGTGGCTTTTGTGAAGTCCACTCATGCCCCACATATTTAAAAAACAATTTAAGAAAAAGTTAAATTAATTTTCCCTACACAATCTACCCACATGGGTTCCCTTTTGTTAAATAACCTATAGGTAAATTGGCAGCTGTTGTTGGGAGACCAGGCCAGTCGATGCTCCTTTCTCATGGAAAGAGAGGCTAAAAAGCTCTTCTCTGACAGACAAGAGTGAAAAGCTGTTCTCTGCATGAACTCTTCTACAGAGTAGCATGCAAGTTCCTAAGACATTCAGCCTTTACGCTACCAGGGAGAAGATTCTAGAATCACAAAGGCCAATCCACTTTGGCCAACACACACCAAAAGGAGCCCCTTTCATTTGGAGAAATAATAAAACTGTGAAATATACCGCTATGACCTTTAAGGCAAGCCCACTGGAAAGTAGAAAGGAAATGAAGGCTCTTAGTTTGTGGTGGTCCTGACTCTTAAAATGTCCTTCTTTATCACCTAAAGCCAACCCATCCTTGATACCATACCAGAAGGAGCCTAGTTTGCATGGCTTCTCAGCTTTTGGCTAAAATCAAGTGTAGCATGTGTTCTTATCAGTTTAATATCTGGTGTGCCTTCTATCTAACAACAATAAAGTCAATGGATTTTTATTTTAAACGGGGAGAAAGATTAAGAGCCTTCTCCAGGCCGGGCGGTGGTGGCGCACGCCTTTAATCCCAGCACTCAGGAGGCAGAGGCAGGCAGATCTCTGTGAGTTCGAGGCCAGCCTGGTCTCCAAAGCGAGTTCCAGGAATGGTGCAAAGCTACACAGAGAAACCCTGTCTCAGGAAAAAAAAAAAAAAAGAGCCTTCTACATCTACCCCAAGTGCCATGATCAGCAAGCTAGCCAAAGATGGAGCCGTTTTCAGCCTGCTGCACGGGGATGCTGGAATCCATGTCCTTACACGTATGTCTCACTTCTCTTGTCTGTCTGAGGGGGGCAGTGAAAACAAGTCTCTCCTCTCACAGCTCCCACCTGAAGGGACTATCAGAACTCTCTGTATTCCCAGGTCAGGTGATCAGAGACCCTGCCTAGCCCCTTTCACCCCAAACAACGGCAGGTTGGTGTGTGCAAGAGGCCATGGCTGTCCCTAAAAGGACAGAAACGGAACAGAAAGGGCAGAGAGGAAGTCAGGTATCTTCAAAGCTCCACGGGATGATATGAATCAGTTTCTAAGAAAGAAGGGTAAGTGGAGGAGGAGCAAAAAGTAGCAGAGGGAAAAAGCACGCTGAAGAACTGTAGGTTGTCACGTGTGCAGAGAGCAGACAAGATTCTGGGTGCACATAGACACGGATTGTGTCTGAAACATAGTGAAGGGGAACAGCCGTCTGGAAAATGGACGAGCAGAGGAGAGAGACGGGCCAGCACTATCCATCCTTCTCTGTCTGCCTATGTGTTTGATACCAAGTGTATACGCTACCTAGTCTAAAATTTAATTGTGTGTTTGTTTGTTTGAGACACTATTTCACTATACAACAAGGCTGGCCTGGAATACACAATGTATCCCAGGCTGGCATTGAATTCATAGTGATCCTCCAGCCTCAGCCTCTAGAATGCTGGGATAATACTCATGAGTATACATGCCTGACAGAAAGGTTAATTTTCAAAATTCATGTACAACAACCAAAAAAAATGTAATGATAAAATATTTAATAGACTAGAAAGATATATACTAGATTCCTATTGTCATTGGCTTCAGTAAACAAAAGAGTAAAAATTAATACCCTTGAGCGGAAAAAAAGTCTTAGAAACAAAGAACTTTTGAGTGGGACACGTGACTTCACTGCATGACCTTTGGATCTGGTGAGTTCCTCTTTGCACCCTCTCCGTGTACCTGGGCTGAGTCATCCCTCTGAATCACCTGCCACAGGTTGGAGCTGCAGAATGATCAAGAAGGACCAAGCAGAGAGGGGAAAAAAACCCAGAGAGCATTTTTCACCTTAACCCCCGATGTGAAATGAGAGTTTAGAACGAGCGAAAAGCAAACGCATCACATCACTTGTCCCCTTGTTCTTTTCCAAACCTGACTGGAACCTGAGCAGAGTTCTGTGTTGTTTAGGGAACTAACCCTAAAGATGGAAGATGGTGGTAACAAATGGATGGGTGGTCCCCCGCTGCTCAGCCCAGAAATCTGAATTCAGTGTTTTCAGCTGTGTTGATGCTAACATGGACCTTCAAATCCATACCTAAGGCAGATAGGATCACAAACACACAAAAGAAGATTAACCGCTGAAAACTTAAGTAATGGTACAAACAGAGCTTGGGTATTACAAGGAAGTTGGTCAATGATTCACCAAGCCCACATTTTTTTTTTAAGAGAACTAAAAGCACATTAGAAATGGGTTAATAAGTTCAGTCGGCTGGGGGTAGACACAGTTCAGCCTAGGGGATGGTAGTCTTCTACTAAAACACATTTTTACTTCAAGACTAACTAGTCTTGTGCTCCCGGCAAAATTTCTAAAAATTGTCTTTCAACTGAAGAAAGTTCTTCCTGTGTCTATCTGCTCAGAGGCCTCACTTGCTCAAACAGAAGATCTCTTTTCTCAAGGACACACACTGAATTTGCACAAGCTGCCGCCACTGAAGCTGTTTGCAGATTGTATCTCTTCAAGTACATCTGTCCCTAAATTTCTCTTATAGACTTCAAGGACCATGTTTGGGAATATTTGAGAGATTTTTTTTTTAATGTGTGATTTGACTCTAGACAGAAAAAGAAAAGCATTAAACATTATATACACAAATTGGAGGCCACTTATCCAGAAACAACACAGAAATCAACAGTAATCTCCAGATATGGTATTTCAACTCCACATGAAGAGAACAGAAATGGAGTATGTTATAATTAAGCATAATTAGATTATTAGTAATGGAGCCAGAAAGTAGAAATAGATCTAATCAGCATGAAATTCAGGCTCTAAATAATACACAGGCCTAACTCCCTTGGCAAAAAAAAAAAAAAAAAAAAAAAAAAGCTGCTTCCCAAATTTATCTCAACTTAGTCATTCATTCCAGACCAAGAATGTAAATAAAATTCCATCACAATTCAACAAACATATATTTAACTCCTACTCTGTTGTAAGCATACAAAGGTGCCTCACTGACATTAACGAAAAATGACTGGAGGCCTTTGTTAAGAATCGGCATCTGCTCTTAGATCCAGATCCTTATAAACCAGAGCAGGGTCACGCACACAAACATCAACCCCCAAATGGACCAGTGGCTTTGTTTGTTTGTTTGTTTGTTTTGTTTTTAAAGGGAGGCTTGCAGCAATCAAAGCTACATAGGTCCCCCAGGGGTTGGGAATGTAGCTCAATAGATAAAATACTTGCCTGGCATGCCTGAAGTTCACTTCCCTAGGTTTGATTCCTAGCAATCCAGGCACAGTGGTAAACCCCTATTTTTGTTGTTGTTGTTTTGTTTTGTTTTGTTTTTCGAGACAGGGTTTCTCTGTGTAGCTTTGCGCCTTTCCTGGAACTCACTTGGTAGCCCAGGCTGGCCTGGAACTCACAGAGATCCGCCTGGCTCTGCCTCCCAAGTGCTGGGATTAAAGGCGTGCGCCACCACCGCCGGGCTGGTAAACCCCTATTAATCTTAGCAATCTAGGGGTAGAGGCAAGAGGATCAGTAGGTTACGGTTATCTTCAGGACACAGTGAGTTTGAAGCCACTCTGTGCTATATGAGACCCCCTCAAAGGGAGAAAAAAAAAAGACTTCCCCACCAAGGTAATCTAAGCTACTTGACAAGGGAGTCCCCCTTGTAATGTAATTTTGAGTTTTCCGTCTGATTGGGGGGGGGGGCACCATCAGAGGATAACTTTATTCAGGCAGTCAGGCTTTGTGGCAAACACCTTTACCTGCTGAGCCGTCTCACTAGCCCTGAAAAATAACTTTGACATAACGTGTCTGGTTTCATTTCTTATTTCTGCTTCCCTTAGCCTTTCAGCCTGTAAAGCCACCTCCTCACTACAACTCAGATTCCTAAACCACTACTAAAGGACAATCGGGCCTTTAAACTCTGTTTGCTGACATTCTGTTTTGTGATGGTGATCGCTACCCACAAAGAATGTGACTCTCCTAAGTCTTGGCGCCTGTGCTGAAACTGCTTCTGTCTAGAATATTCTGCTCGTCCCACCTAGCCCAGAACCCCCCCCACCACCACCACCACCAATTCCTCTTTTCTCTCTCTTCTCCAGGAGCATTCCTTCTAGCACTGGGAGGGGGGAGGGGAGGCACCCAGAGGTTCTGAGACCTCAAGGTCTAGGCATGGAGTGCACGCATGCACACTGAACACTTTGACATGCCAAGAGAGCACTTTAACAAGCATCTACAGGTCCTCCTGGAAGGCACAGACCACGTTTATCTCTGCACTTCACATGAGGCAAGGTGTGCTTGGCCACTGAGTACATGGGGTACTCAAAACGTAACTTTTAAAAGAAGACTTTCCAGTGTTGGGCGGGGCAGAAAACACTGAATAATAAATACATGCCCGAGACATAAGGAAAGAGGCCCCATAATAAGAAAGAGAGTGTCTGCAGAATCAAAAGAGTGGGAATCAGGGGTGTGGTTCAGCGCTACAGCATTTACCTGGGTTCAAACCCAGCACAGGAAACAAAATACTGACTTTATAAGTTTGAACTTTCAAGAGAAATTATACTTGGTGTTCACTGCTATTACTTTACATAAATTACAAAAAAAAATCAGCTGCAACAATATTACCCATTTGTTGTGATGACAATAAAATGTAAACCAGGGGCAAGTTCACAATTTTTGTTGTTACTGTTTTGGTTTGGGGTTTGTTTGTTTGAGACACGATGGGGGTGTGTCTCTACATAGCCCTGGCTATTCTGAAACTCACTATGTAGAAACTCACTGGCCTCAAACTCACAGAGATCCACTGCCTCTGCCTCTGCCTCCCAAGTGCTGAGATTAAAAGTGTGTGCCACCATGCCCGGCATAATTTTCTTTTTAGAAACCCAATGTACCTTAGGCATGAATGCAGCCATTTACACAGGATGGCATCCACTGTTTTAGGCCTTTATCTAGTCAGGAGACTGTATTCTCATTCAAACTTAGCCTTTTTTCAAATTCTAAGGTGCTGGGCCAGCTGAATAGTCATCAGATATCTGTATAAATTTTAAAATATAATAACCATGACAGTCACAAAAAGAAGAACCATGGGAAAAATCAAGAGCTCTCCCAGGTCCTGGGGAAGAGGGGACCAGGAGGAATGGAGGCGGACAAGAAGGCACAGGCTAGGAACAACGTGCCAGGGGAGGAAGTGTGTGCCCAGAGGCTGGAAGCTGTGAAGACATTGGAGGACAGGGAAAGAACCATCCACTGGGGTGAGAAGGTGGCTCAGTGTGGATGGGACACAGTGCAGTAATAACACAGAGCCTTCAGCAACAGCACGGGTTCAAACCCTGCCTTTTCCTCTTCCTACCTGAAGAACTACAGACAAGCCCCACAAATCCTGGGGATGTGTTCCTTCATTTGAAATTAGGGGAATGCCTCTGAAGTGTGTGTGTGTGTGTGTGTGTGTGTGTGTGTGTACACATGTGTGTGTGGGTATATATTCCAGTTCATGTGTATACGTATAGGTGTGCATGTGGAGACTAAGAGTCCCAGAGATCTGCCTCTCTCCACCTCCCTAGCCCTGAGATTACAAGTGTGCCCAGCTTTTTACAAGCGT